CTTCAAACTACCATCACCCCATTGTATGCCATATTCGACTCCTTCCACAATGCTCATCTTACCTTTTCTCTACCTTTTTGTCTGTCTGTCTGTCACTGTTACATATGTGAATCATTATTCCGTCCCCTTTCCTCTCGACTTTTTGTCACTTTGATGTTCCTCCTCCTCTCAGTGAAGCCCGAAGTCAGCTAAATGGCTAATGATAACTATCAAAACGCCTGCCATTTGAAATAAATGAATATACAGGAAAACCACAGGCCTTCTCCGACTTAAATGAAAACAACAATTAGTTTTGTCGACTAAGCAATTTAAACAAGAGGTAGAACATATTTCACTAAATTTATTTACTTTTCAAACAGTACGAAACAAAACAGTGCTGGTAATTTATTAAACTACGCTTTTAAAAACCTGCACCTGATTAATAGTAGCTGCAGATATTTCGCAAAATGCCGACACTGCTACTACGATTGTATGTATTTCCGTGATGATTGATTGGACTAATCAAAAATAATCCACCCACCGTTCGTCCCTGGGTTCTGTATAATCACGTGAGTAATGATTAAGAGGGCAGAGTGAATGATCTCCACCAAATGAATTTCTTACCTCATCAGCCCAAGTATTCACTTATATCAAATGGCAGGCTTTATGGTAGTCATCATTAGACCTTACCTCGACTTCGGGCTTCACTGAGGGGAGGAATAGACAAAGTCACAAAAAGTGAAGAGGAGGAACAGAAGTGTGATTCCAAGATGTAAAAGAGACAGACAAAAAGGTAGAGAGTAGGGTAAGGTGAGTACTGTGTAAATGGTCGATTATGACATGGAGTAGGGTCACGTTAGTTTGTAGTGAGAAGTAAACTGGCTGTAGGCAGGCTTTTTTGCCGCATGAGTATACACTGCCCAGAGGACTCCACGTGGAATTAAGTCCAGCCCAAATGCAAAATAAGACTATTAGGTAATGCACGGAATTCGCCACGATACCTACACCAGTTTATTTTAACAGTCAGCTCCTCCTGGTTTTCTAAATTTAGTTCAAACGACTACCCCCAAGTGAAATGCGTGACACTTCAGGACTCGGATTAAAGTCTTTTTTTTATATTAACCTGTACTTGGAGTTCAGAACAAACAGCACCCAATCGCTGCTAACCGCGTTATTTCGCTCCCCAATTATCAGTAGTCGTGATATTTTATCGAGCATAACTCAGAAGCATTACAGCTTCCTTGCTTTAGTCGACTATCCCCATTAAGACCAATGCCATATCATCACTGAAGCTTGATTGACCCAAGAATTTATTTCTTTTGGTTTCATTCAGCCTCTAACAGCCACACTTAGAATTAAGCGATTATTGGAATGGGCTTCTTCTCCCCACCCTGAAGGCGACAGCAGATATATTTTTCTTGAAGGCTAATTATTTTTAATCCAGACAGAGTTTAATTCTACCCTACTTTCATGTTTACGAGATACGAAAAAAACCCTCAAGGACGTTAAGGCGCCAATTTTATACTCAATTTAGCTTGAAAAGAAATTTTGTTTCCAATTCCTGCCATTTCGTTACAAACTAGCTGATATAGGCAGGTTCACATTTCTCTTCTTGCACAGTTTCCATTTCCACCCCCCCCCCTGAAAATACGTTTCATGAGCTAAATAATTCAACGAAACTCAAGAGTGCCAATGGATGATCAAAAGATGTATGCTAAAATAACGCCAAGCATACGGAAAAGCAGGTAAGCGCGAATTCTTTAAGCTTTTCTAATCACCAAACCGCAGTGCATGCTTCCACAATTCATCCGACCCTTTCTCACCCAAATAACAACTCAAGTGGCGTTTTTCAACTCACGTTTCCTTTAACCAATCATTGCCAGGGCATTTCCACCATCTGATATGGTGGCACAACCGACATGGTGAAAAACTGAATGTTTTGGACTGCTTCCTACCCTACTCCCCGTTCCGCTTTGTAGTGGTGGTTTTAAGTAAGCCACTAACCTGCAACTTAGTACAGAGGACATTTCCAAAGCCTATCGAAAGGAGGCATTTGGAGAACTATTTCGAATGTAATGAGGGTACGATGATGCCTCCCTAATTAGAGCCTTGCACAATACTCCCATCCCCTCCTCTTGTTGTCAATCTACATCACGAACCCTGACCTAACATAAGATTACAATTCATCACATTTTTTTGTAACAAAATCGACATAAACTCGGGGGTATACAGAGCCCGTTCATCTCCTTCTTCGTCTCCTTCTCTCCGTTATCACGTCAAAGTAGTACCAGTAGTAGTATTAATTGTTACAATTCAGTCGGTAGAAAGATGAAGGTAAAGCGAGGGAGATTGAAGGGGCTAGCTCTAATCCGAAAACGCAGAAAACAAAAATAATGGTCTCCATACACACAAACAGCTAGGGGCTTAGGTAAGTGCGAATGGATAGGGTGGAAGATGAGATTCAAGTAGAAAGACGGACATAGTTTCTCCTCATCTTCCCAATTAAAAGTTGCTATTCTCATGAAGTGTTTCCACGGACACTGTAGCCTGGGAGGTCATTGGTATTCTGTTACTCCTCTTCCTCTTGGAAAAAGACTCCTTTTCATCCACCTCAGACTTCTTGTGACGTTTAGAGGATTCAGATCGAGTGGAATTGCACCTGGGACTATTGTGTTGGGATGGAGAGCCAAAAGTCGAAGCACCTCCTGGAAGGTGCTCAGGAGAATCTGTAACGGAGACTGAAGTAGCTGCAGCAGCGCTCTCGCCAACCCGATCCCAGTTGATCTTGAAGCCAACTTCTGGATCAACGGCTCTAGCTTGGGTGGTAGTTGTGTTGTTCTTACTCAGACGCACCTTGAGCTCGGAGAAGAGGGTGATGGGCATAAAGATGTAGACGTAAATCAGTACCAGAGGAATACCAAAGATGGCTACAAGTGCTAAAAGAAAGAAAATGGAAAGAAATGAAATTAAAAAGAATATGATAAAACGCTTGAATGAACTTTCCAAAATATGTCTATTAATGGCTGTTTGCTCCAAATGTGCTAAAGGTGTCCAAGTACACTACAATTAGCACAGAAACCTACAATTTTCTACATTCATGTACACAAAGACAACAAGAATGGTTGAAGATTCAAAGCAACCTGAATCATGGATGGGAATTACTTGCATCATGATGAATTATACTGGCCATCAAAAGAATCAGATTATGAACCCTCAGCACACTATGAAAACAAACTTTCAGTAAGAATTGCAATAACAATCCCGAGGCCATTTGATTTGACTGTGTTCTCACAACCATTTTTGATTGAAACCGCTCACTCAGGCATTGAAGAGATCAACTTCTCAAAGAAAAGGAACATAAAAATCGTTGTCAGATAAAAGCGATGAAACGTCTGAACAAGATGAAGCAACCTGTTACTAAAACACGTGCAACGTGGCTCTATATTGATGAGAAAAAACTCTTGTCAAGATTAAGGGCACAACACCCGGAATGACAGATGCCTTGGCTTGCATAAGGTTCAAAGGACACCCCTCCCCCCCCCCCCCCCCCCACCAGACACTCGTACAAACTAAATTTTCCCCCAACTGTTAATGATTCCAGATGTATGCCCACCTCTGAGGATGAAATGATACCCCACTCTGCATTTTCAGCATAGACTTTAACCGCATTCAAATGCCTACATGGAATGGCAGTCCACTGTAGTAGTTAAGCGCTGGATAAGGAACGGGGCGAGGGGGGGGTGGACAATTAAAGGGTCATGTGCATGACGGGAGCAGGATTCGACCAGGCCCTAAAGGCAATTATTTTGAGTAGAAATCTTTGAAAACAATACAATTTTCCTGCTACTTGAGCTTCTCTTAACCCTGTTAAAATTTGCAGTCGAGAAGTACTGGTCCTTTCTTTCATAAAGTGATTATCCAATTCAACATAAATATCCTGCACATATAAAAAGCGAATGAGGCCTCTAACTGAAGTACTACCCAACCTTTACGTAATTAATAGCTTCAAGAAGTGGGTTTAGTCACCATTTTTACAAAGCACAATTGCGAAATCACACAGTTGCTGAAAATATCAATACGTAGAATCTTGAACGATATGTAGGAGAAATATTTCTAATGAAATCTCCCCCATCATAGTACTCCTTGAGACATTTTACACGAGTTTTAATAAAACCTCTACCACTTCCCACTCATACACCAGCACTAACCCCCCCCCCACATACGTTTTAGTCCAGGCGCAATTTCTTTTCCTAAAAAATTTATGAGTCCATACTACAATGCCAATAAGTTCTTTTTGAGTTTGGTGCTTTAAGAGTAGAAAGTTAAATCAAGTTCTTTTTTTCTTGATTTTTCTTTTCTCGGAAGCAGACTCGAGTGTCATACTTAAACCCGTTAAACTTCTCCAAATAAACGATTACCGATTTACCATCTCGTCGTGTGTTCCCATAATTTGAAATAGGCAGCTTATTCTGAGACACAGGTATCATATACACACGGAAGGAAATTACAGAGAATCCTTGTTACCCTCAGATTGAAAGCTGAAAATACTTACCAATTGCCTTGGATATCGCAACTTTAGGGCTTCATTAGGTTGGATGCTACCTCAGGAATATTTGTTCAATTGCGTTCTCCAAGCATCGACATTTACAGGTTTTGCGAAGCTCTCATGACAACCCCGGTCTCCATAAGAGCACACATATAAGCAACTGGAGTAGAGTTAGAGCACTCCACACACACTTATACAAAAATATCACCACCCATAAATATCATAGAAAGACAACTTTGCAAGCACATGTAGAGGGAGATGTGTCATTCAACACTCCCACGGTAATTGCCTTTATTAATCATTTTAAATTGCTTACCTGCAATAATGGGAGAAACTAGTAGCCCACCAAAGAAAACCAGCGTCTTGAGGAGGTATCGCTTGCACTTGCTACCTTGGAGAGGTTTGCCAACCTAGAGGCATGAAAAAGAAAAGTAGAGTTTCATCCTCACTATTTTAAAAGGATGCTAAAGCAATTAAAAAGTGGCGCGAGACCGACCTTGTAGGCGACATAGGCAGGAAAGCCAATAACAATGCCTGGAATGGCCAGTGCTGTGACTATGGCGAGAATGAAAGGCGTCCCGAAAGCTGCTATCAGCATTGCCCAGATGCGTCGTCGAAATGGCCACCTTTGTCGACCCCAAAAAGTGCAGCCCGTGGGACTACAATTTCAGAGAAACTAATTATGAAATGACAAAAAAGGGAGTATTATTTTATATAACCTGGCAATCATAGTTGCAAAGGCAAATGAATGTGTCCTTTGTTGGCATCAATGAACGCCTCAAAACTACCAGATGGACAAGGTAAAAGAAATCTACCATTGTTCTTTTATTTATGAGTAGGCAACACATAATACTACGAATACCAATACAATGAGCACACGATAGTTTACAGCAAATGTTGAAAATATTTACCTGAATTTACAATGCACAACTCAACACAACTGTTTTTTTCCTGGGCGCATTGTAGAACTAAGTAAAAGGGACCTTCAACGAATCCACGAACACAACGCTTGAATATCTCATCATCACCACAGCACTCGACAACAAATGGTAGAATGAAAATACGTGTTCCATTTATTGAGCCAAACCTAGTGCAATGGGTGCTAGATCTTGTAAATAAGCTAATAAAACCCATATCTGTGCGTAGTTATAACTTCTGTGGGAGAATTAATGGAATACAGATTGTAATTATAAGGTTGAGAAGCTCACAAGCGCTAAACTAATTAGTACAAAACGCAGCGGTAGAGTACACACTCTATCGCTGCAAGTAACCATGCGTGCTAAAGTTAGAATAGACCTGTGACCGCATGAACCACGAAGCTTTTAATCAGGCCTGTTGTGCTTTAAAAGTGCAAAAAAGGTTCCTCAAACAAGTGCCCAAGTTAACATCACCTCTACCCCCCCCATCCCACCCCCCAACTCTCTCGCTTTCGCTCTGTCTGCCTCTGGAAAAGTGAGGCACAATCCCAACTCCCGAGCGGTGAGGAAAGAGATGAGAGGGGCGAAAAAAATCACCATGAACAAAGCCCAAATGCTGCACGTAGTCAAGTTTAATTCAATCTAATTTATTACAAAGTGTAAGTTGAGGTAGTGGAGAGGATAAAGGGTAATAAATACAGATGTCACTGAAATCCACCTCGAGTCTACTAGTTGTCCCGGTTGGTCATATGAAGGATCCACAACTGTTCCCCACTCCATCGAATAAGAAGCGCAGCAATTACTATACAACGACCTGGTGGTCAGAATATGACGCACTAAAACCATTGGAAGAAAACGGGATGACAATCTGTGTCAATTAAGCCGCTTGCTCTGGTGAAAATGTTTTTTGTGCTCCTTCCCACCACCCTGCCTGAATGAATCGAGTTTGAAGTGACCTCCTCCCCCACCCCCCTTTAAGATTTAATGACCCCGAAAAGATACTAGGATGCACAAACTTCTTCACAATAAAAAAAGGAATGAGAGTTGAGGTAATGGTGAAAGAACTAGGAAAGGGAACTGAATTACATGTGTAAACTGTGAGGGAGGGAGGGAGTGATATCGCGTGTGGAACGGTTAAAGTGGGCGTAGGAGGACTCTGATCTCATCTCCTCAGCTGTTGCTTAGGCTGAGCAGATCTAGGAGTTAAAATGTGATATTCTACAGACTGCTCCACTGCGTCATACTTTTTAATGTTCCCCGTTATGTTGGCAACATCAATATTGCTCATATTTTAGTAAAGTCCTACTCTTAATTCATGTTTTCTTTTAAATTAAGGGATTCGCGTAGCGAAAGAATTTATTTCGTGTGTGTATGTTCGTGTACCGCAGCAGTCAATGTATGCAGTCAGAGCTAACGAGATCAATGTCCATCGATCCACAAAGTGAAATGAACACCGGTAATTTTTTTGGCAAAATGTGAATTTAGCTATCAATGGACTCCCGAATACCTTTATCAAAGTTTGAGCCGCCCAATTTTTTTTCTAGTGTTATGATGCCAGGAATCGGGCAATAAACAATCTATTTAAAACACAAATACATAAAAACACCAGACGATAGGTGATATTTTTTCCCTACACGTTTAATTAGTAAGCAAATGACGCAGAGCAGCCATCTCGACCCAGAACTAACTTCACTCAACCCCGTATCTCCTCTCACTAGCCCTATTAGAGTCCAAGAAATCGCCCGACTTGTTTCAAAGCGTACTATTCTTATGCAGGATGCTATCCACTTGAAGTCCGCGTAGCAATATCTTAATCCATTCAGGGGGGGGGGGTTACCTTATAATAGTACTAATACTAATTGGGTATCATTTTCCTTAATTGACTCTAAGGAAAGGAGCTATCATCAATAAATAGGAATATAAACCAAATGGGAGAACGCTGTGGAGGAGGGAGGGGGAGGGGCTTTTACCTCAGGAAGTGAGTGTCTCGAACTTCACGGAGGCAGAGCCAACAGAATTCACAACCGCAGATGAAACAGCTCATGTGATTACAGGATCCATCGTCCAATTTCAGCAGAAGGGTACGACATCGAGGACAGGCCTTCACTTCACCTGCAGAGGGGGAAGGGAGAGAGAGAGTGGAGGAGTGACAGATGAAATGAGAACAGATAAAAATGAAAAATGCCTCAAAATGGAGATGTTGCAGGTAAGAAAAGTAATCATAAAAAAGGAGCTGTTCATTTTATCTTGGTCTCAGACATGTTGGAGTTTAGTGCGGATATTTAAATACAACGCAGGCCGGATTCATTAACGTAAGCAAGGTGTCCTCTCTGTGGGGATGAAAATCAAATGATCCAACCGAAAAGACAGTTTAAGAGAAAAGTAAAAAATCTTAAGCCTCCATGAGAACTACAATAGCAAGAAAAGCACTTTGAAGGCAAACAATGTGTTTAACAAAGCTTCGTTCAAGGTCTAAGCCAGTTCAAGGTGAAGGAGGAAGCAAAAAATTTTCTTCACTACCTCAAATGGTTAAGAAGCCCTTGAGAGGGATTCACCTCCACCACCACCCATTCAGACGTCATGAGAGCACGCTTCAGTTCGATACTTTTACAACCGCACAAGTACTGTACAAAGCCACGTACTCATATATACACACACACACACGCATTTTCACAATGTTGAAGCCAGGCTTTAAATGCCTACGCACAGGTTTCTCCACAGGAGTGCTCACAGCAACAAATGCGATCATAGAACCCAACTCCAAAAAAATAATAATGAATTGCAAATAGCAAAAAAGGTATCATATGAGAAGAGGGACTTTAACTATCCGCCTTTTCATCCTCTCTCCTATTCATTTACACAACCAAACATATTAACATTTCATACAAGAATGTAAATTGTGCCTAAGCCTTCTCCAAACTGAGTTTGGAATAGGTATTTTCCAGTACATGTGCCTCCGAGTTTGCATTAGTTCCTGCCTGAACGATATCCATTGATGCTTACTCATCTTCATGACAGACAAGTCAATAGTATAGGGGGGGGGGGGGGGGGGGGGGGGGAGGGGGAGGGTGTAATATAAAAATAATTTTGTCCCATTCAATTTCACAATACACAATTCGATTAATCTTGCTGTTTAGTACTCTGCCCTATTCCAGCTTCGATTCCATTCCTAGTCTACAATCACCGAGTTAATTAAATTACAGCAAGTAGTGACGACCTTAATGATATAGTAAAGTCTAGGTTTTTTATGGGACTTTGCGCATACTTACCGTTAACGTTTTCCGGCAGATCCAATTTAATCTCCGAAATGGAGGCATCGGCGCTAAAATGGTAATAAACAAAAAAATAAATCAAATGCGAGAAAATTGCTGCAAATTATACCTTGGCGTTGCGTTTAAATAGAGTGAGAACTCCCTGTTTTTAATCTCCTTAAGTAGCTGATCGATTTTCCCCATTATGGATCAATTTTGTGCACTTTCCACTTATACTGAAGGTTGAAAGTTCAACAAATCTTCATGGCCATAAGATGAGGTTGATTTAGCGCATAACTGCCTCACCCACGCTTCAATCTCCACGACAAGTCATATTTGGAAACCATCTTAGAAGAAGGACCAAGCTACGCAATACCCAATAAGTAGCACGTAGGGAAATATTAATGAAAAAAAGAAAAAGAGGGAATAAGAGAATCGATAAAATGAGATGCCTAACTTGAAGTGGTGCCAAGCGTCATTTTTGTAATGTTGAAAGTTCGTCAATAATGCGCGTCAAACGATCACCGACTATCCCCTACGAAAGCACAGTAAATGAAAATGTTACTTTGGACAGGCCAGTTAACTAACCTACAGCGAATGATAACTTATTCAGCTTCCAGAAACTCTCTTATTGTATACTTCTTCCTTATATTCGGACGATGGCAACCAATCGAAAGGTAGAAAAATTTCAATATTGTTGAAATAAAAGCCTAAGTGTTGGTATTGCAGTAGCTTAGTCCGTCAATTTAGAGGATGTGAAATTGATACCCATCGTTCACATCCATCCCTGTGATACAACAACAGCACTGACGAGTTATGGTCTGGTAAATGAGCTTCTGCTAGGAGGGCTCCATGATAACTTCAATCTCCCCCC